CAGAGTCCTTACCAGGGCAATAGTAAGTAGAGTCCAAGACCCAAGACAGATAGGGCCACAGGGCACAAAGCCAGCCTGGGGAGCTACAGTTACCTGACTCTAACATATGAGATCTATGGTGCAAAACCTTGAGGGGTGAGGTCCCTGGGTACCTTGAGGGCCCAACTTTCACCCCAGGGTCCAGACAGTAAGACATAGAGTTTAAAAATATATTCTGGCACTCTCATGTTTGCTTTATTGTGTTTGGATCTTATTTGCTACGTATCTCCTCCTCCCTATTCCTTCCCTTAGGAATGTGCATGTGTAGCCCATACCTGCCCAGCACTGTATTTTAAAAGCACATAGCTTGTTTGATCTCACATATCCACAACTGGACAGCAATTGCGCTCAGCATGAGCTGCACCTGAGTCTCACCCATACTTGATTGATGGATGAGGGTACGAACTTTGATATTTGAGTTGGTGCTGGAATGAGTTAGGACTTTGGGAGTTCCTCATTTGAAATTAGTGTACTTAGCATGCATGAATGAATGAATTTGGGGGACCAGAGAAAGTTTCTATGGTTTGAATGTGTCCCCACCAAAACTTGGGTAATGACAATGTGGTAGTATTGAGAGATGGGGCTTTCCACAGAGGACCAGTTCAGAAGAGCTGCTCCCTTGTGTACGAGATTAAGCCCATAAAGAGGCATAGTATATCATTAGTTCTCTTGCCCTCTACCACTGATATGTGCGGTCACAGCATTTCTTAACATATCTCAAGTCTACCAGCACCTTGACATTAGACTTCCAGCTTTCAGACCTATCAGAAAAACATTCCATTATTCACAAATTACCCAGCCTCAGGTGTTCTGCTCTAGCAGTCCAAAATGCACTAGAACACCATCTCTAGCAGGTCATCTCTTCCCTTAAGTGCTCCCTCTTTTATGATAACTTGTATTTATCTAATCTTTCCTACTTCTTCATATGTGGCCCTTACACTTGATTCTACATTAAATTTGCCTCACCATAAAACATAAACGATTGTAAGTGCATATATGTTTAAGTGTATAAGATAACCGTATTACTGAGTGTTTTCTGGATCATTGAACAAAACTGTTTGCACTCTCACTGTTTGAAAGTCCACTTTATGTGCTTCAACTTTGTAACTTGAACAACTATTTCTAAGATGAGAGTATGTAATCTATTAACTAGTGATTTCTTACTGTTTATTTTTTAAATTTTATATTACTTATATCCTTTTTCTGTTTTTTTTTCCTTTTTCTCCTTAAATAAAAAAAAAAGGTATTATGGTAACCATTGTTGATTTCCTATTGTTTTGAAGTTCTGTGTCACATTGGTTTGTTTTGATTGGTTTTATTCTGTTTTATTTTGCTTGGTTTTATTCTCTTTAAAATAACAATGTTATAAAGTAAAACAAACAAACAAAAAAAAACATAAATGGTAAAAGGCTTAAGTTGACACTGTTAAAACCTAAATTCCAGGATCAGGATTTTTTTATGGTTATACACTTTGTGTCCTTTGATAAATTACCCAAAACTGATCTTATCTTCATGCCTCATTTGTAGGGTGCAGTAACCATTGAGTGAGATAATACATATAAAGTGCTTTGAATTGCCTTGACACATACGGAATGTTGAAGTGTTGACAACTATATTTTTAAACATTATTACTCTGTAGTTTATTTAGAAATGCAAGTTTTTCCTCTAACATATACTGAAAATAATTTCAATTCAGGAATCACAGACTTCTTTGATGTTTCCATTCCTGTACTTTTATCTGCCAAATTGCCCAGTAAGGACAGGTTTCTCCAATATGATCATTTACTTATCTTACACACTTCAAAAGGGCATTAAGCTTACTTTTCAGATGATAAAACAGACTAGAAAAGATAGGAACTTGCATAAGGTCATACAAGCAAAGGGATCTGGGATTTGTATCCGGGGTTTTGTGACTCTACAGTTTTAAGGTGCTCCCCTCCATTTCGTGTAATCCAGGCACACTTGAGGAAGAAAAGCAAAGTGTATGTCACCCCAGGGTTGCAAGGTCCTTCTGAAATCAAGCCATTGCAGTTCTCAGTAGCTTTCTGGGTCTCAAACTCAGGGCTGAGCAACCCCGGATTATCACTAACTGCTCCATTCTTTTTGCCTTTCTGTTGATGGAAAGCAACTTTAAGGAAGAAATATTATTTTCCAGAAACAAAATCATTTTATCACAATTTCATATTAAATGCACCTACATATACATATATCTAAAATGGGGTATGTAATAGCTTGTACCTAAATGTACCCCCAAAGCCTCATGTGGTCATGGGTAGGGCTTTTCAATGGTGGCTGATGCTAGTATCAAGGGAGTGTGATTACCAAATTAGTGCACTAATCGGTTTGGTTAGTTCTGGGTGGGACTAAGGGTGCCCCGCCCTGGGTGAAAGTGCTACCCACCATAAGGGCAGCCTTATAAAATACAGGGACTCACAGAGGCTCTGCTGCGGGGGTCACTGGCTTGTGCCTGCTGCTCTCTGCCTGCCCTGCTTTGTCCTGGACTGTTTATCCTGTGCTGTGCCACCTTGCCTGGGAGCCAGCTGACTATGTACTGAAACCTCTAGCAACCGTGAGCTACAATTAACCTTTCTCCCTTTAAATTTGGGTGTCTGGTAGTTGGTCCCAGCAGTGAAAAAATAACTAAAGCAGGTGTGCTCAAATGGAGCATTTTTGTAGAACAGACTATAATTTTTTTGTATTTTGTTTAGCAGACTATCTTACCTAACATGCATTGTATATAATAAATGCAGTAGCCATAGCTGGATTAGCTTTAATTGATACTTATTGGAAGACCTGAATAACAAACCCATACTCCAAGGTAAAAAGAAGCTCAGTTTCCCGTATTTGAGTGTGAAAGAAATACTATTTTGGTCATCCTGTTCCTCAAGATTCCTAAAAGCAGGAAATTCTCTGGTAGAATCAACTTATATCACCCCTGGGTTCAGTTTCCTTAAGTATGTGAGAAAGTTCATTGAGTCATTAATTAATTAATTTGTATCATTAAGCGCCTACACGGTCTGAGGCAATACCTCAGCGACTAAGGAAGTACCAAGCTTAGAAAGGGCAATCAGATGGACTCATCGCTTGGTACAGGTCATCAAATACACCAGACTATGTCATTCAGTGATTTGCCCCTACACAACGTGGGATTATTCAGATAACATCTATTTCCCAAACCTTTCACAGGGTGTGTTTGGCAGTGCTGCTATTAGATGCTTTTATAGATGGGAGATGCAAGGTGTACGGAGAAGCAACTTAGACAGCTCTACTCATCAGGAAAACCAAGACTGGATACAGGATTTTTTATTTATGGACAAAGACTTACCATTAAATGTTTATTCGTGATTCAAATGTATCTATATGAATGCTTTTAGGTAGACAGATAAACTTTCAAAATGAAACTGAAATAAAACTGATTGAACTGAAAGGGATGCAAAAGAATGCACACTGAATACATAAAGTTCACAATTGGTGCTTCTTATTCAAATAAGAAACAGATGAGACTTCACAGACAGCTTGTTATTGATACATGGATGTGTTTCAAAAGCATAGGAAGTTGGTAAAAAATATTTATAATAACAAAAATACATTCCACCTTCAGAGTCATTCTAGTGTAGGGGAACGTTATTCATTTAAAATTGTTCAAGATTCTTCTTTTAAGTTAAAAAAAATCTTCTGTAGGGCAGCAGATGGGATGAAACGAGATATATTCATTACCCAGATTCAGAGGAAAGACTTCAAAAGCTGCCTTATATAAGGTAATTTTATTAATGACATAAACCATCTTATTCTGGTGAGCTTTCCTGCATGCATGTATTTTGCCATTTTTAGAAAACTACATTTTAGTGCCGTCCACCATTATCACAAAGCATGGGCTTATGAAGTCAAGGACAATCTGAAGTATAAGATTTTAAAGCATAAAGATCAGGTTTTCATTCTCAGGTGCTTTGTTGCCTCAGAGCATGGACTCTGCTTGGAACTTTGGTTTACGAATCTATGTGCAAAGGCCACACCTTAAAACCATAGGTCTGAGTTTAAACTAAGTCCAATTAGAAAGATGGGTCTTCTTCAAAGATGTCAAAGAACACTTCAGGTATACTCTTTAGGATCAGAGAATAAAATGCAGTAGTAGAGGATTCGGGAGAACATCAGCTCTCTGCCACCAGCCTGATATGTTACCATGCGATGTCACAAACTCTGGTTCTTCAGTGTCTTAACTACACAATCGTGAATCTGACTAGATCATCTTTAAATTCTCTTTCCATTTCTCAAATTCAGATTTTTACATATTCCTCTTAATATTTACATCTTTCTTATTTTTAATTACTTTCTTATCTTATATTCAGTTGGAAATAAAGTTACCAAAACCCAGCACACTGTGACATTTATATGTAACCCAAAGCACTGTTACAAAACTTCTTCAAATTAACGTATTTGGGCTGGTTACTGTGCTAAGTATGTACAATAATTGTGTTTATACAAAGTCCCGAAGCCAGGAAGTAGCTATATTGGGACTCGAACCCAAGATACTGAGTGAAGGACCCCTGAGATGCTTGCTGATCTGCAGGTAACTCACAATGCTCAGGCAGATTCAGCATTGCAGGAGCCACAGAAGAATCACATGTGGAGACTCCTCACACATGATCCCTCTTGTCACTTACTATACCCCTACCCCACCTCCCATCTGCACAGAAACACACAAGAGAAGGCCACATTCATCCATATATAACATCATACAGAAAGTATCATCCAAAAGCATCCAAAGACAGATGATGACTGTATTTGAATTTTGTATACAATGTGGGAGTCTTATTTGTTTTTCTTTCTTTTCAATTAAAACTTTGATTTTCCATGCTGACATAACAGTATGATATCATAAACACTTACATCTTGTCAATTTAAACAAAGCACAAACTATCATATTCATCTGTGAAAGCTTACAAAAGAGGCCAAGGCAGAACTACTTGTAAAAGCTACATTTATTGAAGGTAAGAAATAAATTTGCAAATCACAGAGCTGCCCAGGCACACATTATATGTTTCCTAGCCATGTTCCAATTTAGCCTTTCAGAGTCTTCCATAAAGTCTCTTACAAAATAAGGGAGGAGAAAAGTGTCAATTTGCAATTATGTGTACAAAACCAAACAGTAGCTTTCCAATGAGAATGAGTCTATTAGCTACTTCAACACACATGTGAAGATTGTTCAGGCCCATGCAGCCAAACAGATACAGTTGCATGGGCAGAACTTCCCAAAGCATGATGACTCTACTGATCCAGAGAGGATTCAAGAACACTCTCAAGTTTAGGGAATAGGGCAATGAACAAGAAAAGGTCTAACTCCAGGTGGTGAACCTTTGGCATGGATGCCACGGCAGGCACACTGAGCCCTCACTGTCGGCAGGTGAGCCAAGTTGCCCCAGACAAGGTTTGACAAGTTAGCAGTATTCATACAACAGCAGAGATCACATTAATTGTGCACAAGCGTGCCAAGTGCACTTTTACCTTCCAATAAAAAGCTGTTTATATCACTGAAAGCTCTGTCATTGTGTTTTTAAGACAAAAGATGTGAATGTGTGATTGTTTTCTTCTGAGTGAAAATCACAGTAATCCGGTTTAATTACAATGTTAGCATTTTGCAATAAATAAGGAGTTTAAAGTTACAGTTTGGTGCTCCATCTCTAAAAAGTTCCCCCTCACTGATCTAACATTTGTCCCACTCAATATACACTTTGTCCTTGAGATCATCAACACAGCATTTAATATGCAAAATTTCATTTATCAAAGGGCATGTGCAGGATATATCTGCAAAAGACAATTTCCCATTTTTTGTAATGTTTAGAAGCTGACTTATTTCCTTTTCCTTTTCATCCAGTGGAAGAAATTTGGGGGTAAAATTAAGAAAAAAAAGGAAAAAGATCTCCCAGCTTTTAATGTTGAATTTAACAACTTGTTTCCCTCTAAGAAAATATATTTTTAGCAAAAACCATAAACTAAACAAAACTTTTTCCAATATTTAAATAACTTAAAAGAACATAACTATTTTAATAAGAAAATCTTTTTCTAAGCTACATATCACATTTTCCCTTTTTACCTTTCATGGAAATATGTAAAACAGGGATTAATGATCCTGGACTATAAAGTTACTTGAGTTTGCTTATTAGCAGTCAATAATATAAAGCCACAGAGGATTTTAAATAAAAGAATCTAGCAGTGTAAGATACCTGTTGTAGGGGTATATACTTGATGACTACTGACAGAAATAATAATGTAATTGGAAAATTCTCAAAAAAGAAAGCCAGACTGATTTGCTTGGTTCTCCACAATTTTTTGTTTTACTTTATTGAATAAAACACCTATGTGTGGCCCTGTGATGGCTTTAGTCAAAGTTATCAGAAGATCATAACTAAGAATTCTGTGATACTCGATATTCTTCAACAGGAGAGTTTGATCCTACTTAACTACTACATGTAAGAATTTGTGTAAGTTAGGTATTTTATCCAACACTTTTTTAACTTCTATTTTTGTTCTTCTTCAAGCCCCCATACAAAGGATCTGTTAATACCATTCAAGGTTCTTAACAGAGAATAATCCATACACCCTGATCTCAATTCTCAAGCAGGTGCTTCCCAGTCAGTGGCATGGCTGGTTTCTCTTCCAGTGGAAGACTTTGCTGATCCACCGTAGTCTGTGTGATCTCACCACTGGATTCATCCCAGGAGCAGCTATGCATGGAAAGCCCATATGCACTCCTACTCTGCAAATCATAGTCATGGTATCAGAGGAAAACGCACATGGGCCACTCATTCATTTGTACCTTGAATTTATAAATCTGACACTGCTATAAAAACAGGAATGGAAATGAACAGCTTCATCTGGGTTCATGTGACTATTTTCCCAGAACTGAAAAGCTCTGGTCTTTATGAACTTGATTGCTGTTTTTTAAAATCAGATTCTTAATCAGATTCTTTTCATTTGGTACTAGACGTTTACTGCACTTCTACCAAAAGCAGACACCATAGCCTTTAAAAAAATTCTTCCTAAAAGGAAGCAAAGAGGCCTTACTCAGTGGGCCTGACGCATCAGCAGGGGATGTTGATCTATCTGTGTTTTCTCGTCAGTTTTAAGGTAATCTCTTCATCTAAGAGGACATGAGGAATAAGACTAAATGTCAGGAAAGGAAAGATTGGCAAAAGCATCTGCCTTGCAAGCATGTGGTCCTGAGCTTGATCCCCGGTACCGATTAAAAAAAAAAAAAGGAAAGGAAGGAAGAGGCGGTCAGCACCTACCAAATGCCAGATCTAGGCCAAAAACTGTAAATGGGTAGAAAATATTAAAGTCATAAGCCTCCTAAGAAACACCAGAAGTATTTATTTTTCCCTTTTCATGGACAAGGGAAAAGAAGCTTTAGGAGGTTTCATAATTGCTTGAGATGGTTCCCCAAGTTACAATACAGCTCATATTTTTAACAGGTTCACCACAGGAAAATACATTTAGGATAATTCTAGAATTTAATCTAAGATCTTAGTAGTTCCAGAGTGAAAATGCAATGCTTATTGCAATGCTAACCCCAAGGAGCTATAAATGTCTGTCGACTGAGAAGCTGTCTGAGCTCCTGGACTTACCAGCTACTCGCCTTTGTTGCCATAGATTTATTTTTTTCCAAGATTTCTGGTTTCATCTCCCCACTGGTATGAAAAGATCCCTTAAAATTATTATAAAATTGAGAAGAATTTTATGTGAATAAAATTTCTTCCCACCCCCCCAAATTTTTAAATGTGAAAATTTTGCTATAATCCTCAAAACTCCTAAATTTTAGAAAGTAAGTGTTCATAATTAATCACTTAATGTTTTAGGAAATACAAATCAAGATGATCCAGACTAGAGTTTTGGTAACATTTTTGTTCCTTATTCAATTGTCACTTCCTTCTAATACTAAAGATCTCACCGGCATTTAGATAAAAGGAAAAAATACTAAAAACTATTCTTAAGAATAATTAAAATTAACTCTGCAATTCATAGTAAGAAGAGTTTCTTCTTATATTTTATGTCTCACCTAATCTTAATTTCATGTAAAGGTCTAGCAGGCTTCCTTTAGTGTGTCCTTATTTGAAGTTTTCTTCCTCCAGCTTTAACTAAGAAGTCTATGAGGTCTCTTAGCTATTCTGCTGTTCAAAATTGTGACCCTTAATTTAAGTAGACTTGTTGACTTCAAATTCCAATTGCAGACACAGAGAGATTTAAATTTGACAAAATAATGGAGGTTACACATTACTCAAATGGAAAACAAAACTGGAAATAATCTAAAGGCCATTTTTTGGTTACAGAAGATTGCATCATAATGCCTGGAGTAAAAATAATAGATTTTTCAGAGATGGGATCTCTTCTAGCCACAGCTCGACAAACGCATGCAGATGTACATCTGTGAAATAAATCTGCCACCGGACTGCACCTGGAAATGAGGTCTCAAACAGGAAGCCATTTATTATCACAATAAACTGCATCAGGAATCTACACAGACTCCCCCACCCCTTCAACAATCTAACTTAGAAATTTGAAACATACTGTTTCACTTTTTAAAAAAGTGATGAGAGTTGACTGGAATATAATCCTTAAAAAATGCAAGTTAGGATGGTTTAATACTTTCAGAATTTAATTTCCTTACATTTGAATTTAACGGATGGATTTTGCTCAGTGCCTAAATTAACTCTAATCTTAAATTTTAAAAACAGCATTGTGTTAAGATTTCTTCTAGCAATCTAATTCCTTTCGGGCACCAAGAGGACAGGACGAATAGGAGTTTTTTTCCTTTGAGTTTCCTATCCTTGTCCATGACAGTGCTGATGTGAATTTATATTTTTCATATACTTCTAGGTAGTGAGAACTCCAGATTCCTGTCCCTCTAGACTCTCAAAGTTTGCCAGCTCCAGAAATGCATTGCATTACCTGTATCTTCCTTTTATGACTTCCCTTCAACTATGTTTTGATCTCATCAGCATGGCTGTGTTTTCTAAGCAGAAAAGAAAACTACTAATACTCAAAGGAAATAGCAGTTAGGAAAACTCCAAATTCACTTTAACCTCCCCCCACTTATCCTCCTTCCCAGTGACTTGTGGGTAGGTGGGGCTTCTGAGCCAACTGCCTGCCTTTCCCCAGGCTGCAGTAGTGAGGTAGGAGGCAGATAAGGCACTAGCCCAGGAGAGGCTGGGGCTGGGGCAGTCCCCACCAGGGAGGAGCAACCCCTGGGAAGTAAAACAGCTGGCCTTTGCTCAGTGTATGTCAGACCTTGACACTCCATCAGTCTTCCCAACAAACGTCAGCCAGATCAAGTTTTTACAAAGAAGTGGGATGATGATCCTTGGTGATGCTCTTTAATTTGTCAGCATTATGATTGTGCCTCTATATGAAATAACTATGAAAAGCACCCCATAATATGAATTCCTTCACCACTCTACATAGAATTATACGAAATTAATGAACTTAATGAAACAGAGTCCTATATGAAGTAAAATAATATGTATATTAAAACAGAATTAAAGCTACCATTTGCGAAATAAAAACTAATTTGGAAATGACATAATTTCTAATTGATGTCAGACACCCACTTTCTTGGATTATGCTTAAAGTTAGTTATTATCCAAATGCTTTAGCCACCTCATCTATTTTCGCCACGAAATATCACAAAATGAAGGGGAGAATCCCAAGAGACCGTATGTCATGACAGCATATTCTTTGGTAAAAGAACTCAGCGCTTCTTTCCGTGTGACATTTTGGTGCCTTATTTCTAGCTCTTGTAAGTCATTACCCAGGTTACTAAGTTGATCATTCCAGAAATTTTCCAAGCAAAAAGTTAAGCTGATGAGGATTTCCAAGGTCACCATGCATCTCCCTTTTTGAAAGAAGGTTCTACATATGCCCTTTTCCAGTCTTCAGGCACCTCATCAGTCCTCCACGAGTTCTCAAAAATGATATCTAGCGGTTCTGTGATGACTTCGGCCAATTCATTAAGTACTCTAGGATGCCGGCCATGGGGACCTGTGGATTTGAACATATCTGGGTTATTGAAGGTCTCCTTTTCCCCTTCTTCCCCTAGTCCATCATGGATTCCTGCTCCTGTTTCCAGTCATCCTGTCCCTTCCTGCTTACCATGTGAACTTTTGAAAAAATAGCTTTAAGTATCTTTGCTTTCTGTATATCAGTGTCCTCCTTCAAGCCAATAAAATGAAGAATGTCAATTTTCAAGCTTGTGTTTTATTTTTAAAAAGCTACATTTTCCTCTTATGTTCCTTGTAAGAACATCTTAAATAAAGTATACTTCATAATAGTTTGTATTCATAAATCATATCACTCAATACTGCATATTAGCAACCTCAGTGCCCTGAGAGACCAGGCTAAAGGCTGCCTACTCCTGCCCAAAAGGTCTTTATCTCTGCAGCATGTATGTGCAAGTGCTAATTCAAGATGCATTATCCAAAATTAAAAAAAAGATGCATAATTATGTCTAATCATTATCATCTGTATGCATGAACAACAACTTTCTCACATAGGCATTTGAAAAGCAGAGCTGCACATGAGCTGGGAAGAGATTAGAAAGGATTTCTCACAAAGCAATAACCTCATACAACTCATTTGTTTGTGGCCACAAGTGACAAGGTTCTGAGTTTGTATTATACTAATTACCTCCAAACTCTGATGGGCACTGACAGTTTTAACCCCTTCATTGTCACACTGATCCCCCTAAAACACAGAGACAGCAATAGACTATACAGTTCACTGGCCATCTGTCATGCCATGTCACATATTGAGAATCTCTTGACAAACCCAGAAAGGACAAAAGAAAGGAAGAAAAGGATAATTTGAGGACAGAAAGATACCTGGTCTTTCCTGGCATTTTTCTACTGTTTCAATTCAACTATTTAGTTTAACTGGAAAAACTTCTGGAAAAGGTTGAAACATTTTGTTTTGTTTTGTTTTGAGTTTGTTTTGCTTGGCTTTGTCTGCTCTCTGTCTTTCCAACATTACACCTAGCTTTATCTCTTGAAGCCAAGTGAATACCAAAAAATAATCACATTGCAAACATCATGAAGACTCTCCTAAAGAATCATCCTGCACATTTCTCTAAGGTACAACAATTTGTTTTAGCACATGCCATTCTCACCCCTGCACCAAGAGCCACCTGCTGATGGCAATATGTTAACTAATATGTCTTTATTAATTAGTTTGGCGACAGCATCAAGCCAGCACAACTAAGTAGACAGAAAGTATGACTGTCTCTCCAGAGAAGCAAGCTATTTCCAAGCATCTTTTTTTTATTTGGCCATAACACTAATAAAATATCTTACTAGTAATTAACATATTCAAAAAGTCATCCAAAAAAAGCCCTTCTTTATGACCTGTGGAAAAATGATGCTCTGCCTATCTTAACAAATCAAGTTGTTGTAGAGTCTTGGAAGAGGTGAAAGCAAGTTCTATGAATAAGCAAAGTCAGCTTAATAAAGAGAAGGTTAAGCTGCCGGCTATGTAATTCTCTAAGCGAAGAAATGAAAAGACATTAGCAGCGAAACTTCTACTTACTACTGGGGTAAGATTACTAGATATTTATGTCAGAAAATAACATAAAACAGAAAGATGCTTAGGTTAGAAGGGTGACTAGACACAGAAAGACTTGGCTAGAAAAGCAAAGACCACACAGAAGTCTCAAGTCCACTGCCTGTGTGAGGCAGCATCCTGCTTGCAGTCAGGAAGATGGTCTTGCCTCCAGCAACATGCAAAGGGACAGGGGACGTCTTTAGGGCCACTGTCCCCAGCAGGCATTCATACTTCCCACAAACAGCTTGTCTGCAGATGTAGAGCATGAAGATAGGTCACAAAATCTAACCACAAGCCAGTAGCCTCCATTACCTCTTGTGCTTTGGGGTTCACAAAAAACAAATCACATTCATTCAACAAGCCCAGCCTTGCAGTTAGTTCACTATTTTTCATACTTTGGGGATGAGGGTAGGAGGCAGACAAACAGGATTTCTGCGAGTGGGTCATGGAAAATATCAAGATGTGAGAGCAGGCACAGACAGCGGTAATTAGCTGAGCACATGTTGCTTCACCATCATGCGAAACATCAGTAATAATTTTCCTGTTATGAAAGGCTTCGTGCTCTGGTAGCTGATATGCACTGATGACGTCCTAGAGCCTGGGCCTGAGAGATCTCACTCCTCCCGCAGAACAGAAAGGAGCAGATTTTTTTTAAAGGCTGGCAAGCTTGAAGCAGTACTTACAGTCAAAGATGCACTGCTCAGGGCTGCTCCCCTATGACACATCTCACTCACTCTCATCCTAAATCATGTGTCACACTCCTACAAAATGAAACAGGTCTCTCATCACTCCACCAAGCAAAACAATCTGCTCATAGGTCTTTATATCTTCTTTCTTGGTGACAAGATTGACTTAAAAGTCAAGAAAGTAAATGCTTTGAGCAGGATGTGGTAGCCTATCCCTAAAATGCCAGCACTCTGGGAGGCTGAGGCAAGATAGTCACAAATGCAGGTGCAGCCTGGGCAATTCATGATTTAGCAAGACCTGCCTTGAAATTTAAAAAGGAAGGAAGGAAGAAGAAAGAGAAAAGAAAAGAAAATAGGGTTGGGAATACAGTTTAGTGTAAGGCCCTGGGTTCAATCCCCAGTACTGTAAAGAGAGATAGAAAGGAAGGGAAGGGAGTGGAGGGGAGGGGAGGGGAGAGTGGAAGGGGAGGGGAGAGGAAGGAGACATGAAGGCTGGCAGACAGGGAAGCAGGTGCCTAAATTTAGCCCCTTCTCAAAGTTCATGAAAATCGATGTTGGGGAGAATAATTGCCATGCTATAATTTGGTTTGTAGTACTCCTAAAGATTCCTTCCCTTCATACCCCTACTCTTCCTCTTCCTTTCTTCCTTTCTTCCTTCACTTTTCTTGTTTCTTCTTTCTTTCTCTCTTTCTTTCCTTTCAGATGAGAATATTTTACATTGCTCAGTATGTCTGTAAACTTCTGGGCTCAAGCATCCTCCTGTCATAGCTTCCTAAATAGGTGGAACTCTAGGTGCTCCATGCAATGCTTGCCTAGTTTTCTTATTATCTTATGTCTAAAGTTTGCTTTAAAAAGATTGTCAGCAGTTTGCCTGCGTGTGCCAAATTATCATCTCCCTATTTTAGGAAAACACAGCCACAAGGCTTATACCCCAGGTTGTCTGTTTCTCAGAGCCCTTATGTTAGGGCCACCCAAAACTAACTCGCTACAGAACTAAGGGTCAGTTTCACCTCTGCTAGGCCCTCAGGGGACGTGGGAGCCTCCAGTTTCACAGTCTTGACAGTTTTGCCACAGTGGCCTCCCTATACATATTAGAATTCTAATCTAAGAAACAAGGAGGAACCAAAAAAGTTATTCAATGCAGAAAGAAATTATTATTCTGTGTTTTAAAATTTAAGATTTATGAGATTAGCTTTTTCTCAGTTGATTACTCTGATTTTTAACTGACTTGAAATCTTACTCTTGAGTTTATGATTTTACTCCTAATTAAAGGCAATCAGAGCTATCTGCAGACCAAACCATTTAAAAGTTCTTTTTCTGTTTTAATATTCTTCTACAAGATGTAGTTCAATTGCAGATTTAAAACCAACAGACATAAATTCTCCATATTAGGATGCTCACATAAAAAATTACAACTGGCATGTACAATGAATATTCTGTGCAGTTTCCTCAGTGTTTAAGGGGCAACAGACACTCAGGGAAAAAAATGACGATCTCTTGAATGAGAAAGAGAGAACAAACCTGAATCTTTTGGTGGTTGATAACAAGACACAAAGTTTTTGTTTTGATTTGTTTTTACCTCATAACATACTTAAGCTAAGTTTTCTGACATTCAACTGTGTCACATTGGCTGTTTTTATGGGGCCAAGAAAGGTGAGGATTTACTTAGAAGAGACTTCAATATATCTTCATTTTAACTGTGAGACTCCCCCAGGGCAAAAATAATATTCTACCCGTCTTTCTGTCTCCAAGAAATTGATATTTAAGGTTGTCCACTGTTATTGATGATTGGTTTACTCATTCATAATATTGTTGTGGTTTGTTTAAATGTCTCCTCAAAACCTCATGCAGTCATGGAAGCAGCTGAATCTTGCATTTGTGATTGGTTTGTTGTCTGGCACTGGGATTGGTGGGTTAGTGCTGTACCCGCCCAGGGGTGGGTAACTGGAAAACCAAGTTCCTTTTTCAGAAATTTCAGTCTAGAAAGCTAGATGGGGAATATACATTCTCTTGTCTAAAGAAAACTGATTGACAACATGCTCACCAAGCCTAACTATGTCTTTGTGGTCATCTTTCAGTTTCATGAAAGATCTCTAAGGGTTTCCTCATGGCATCAGTCCTAAAAAGTCCAGGCTGGCTCCCAGACCCCAGAGGACTGCAGGATGCACTGATATTACACAAACACCTGGGGTACCAACATGCCCTGATGTGTCTGTTTTCTACTAAAGGAGACTTACAGGGTAGATTTCCTAGGATTCTATAACCTATAAAAGTTATAGGTTATTCTGCTCCTGCAGAATAATCTACATAGATTTTCTTTCTTTCTTTTTCTCTTTCTTTTTTTCTTTCACTTCAGAAACAAACACTCAAATCTCACCCAACTATAAACTGTCCAGGCCAAGTATCCAATCCGTCTTCATCACAGTGTGTCTTTGGTAGGTGCTGATTTAGTGTTCTATTCCCAAAACAGATTAAGTAGATTATAAGAAACCGCCTCCTCTGGACCACCCAATTTTATCTTCCCTCAAGACTTAATCTGCAGTGTTTCATCAAATGCATAGTATACTGGAGAAGGTGGCTGGAAAATTTCCCACCCACTTATTATTCAAAAACTCTGAAGAACAAATTCAGAGGTTAAAACACAAAAGCATCTGCAAACCCCGACTAAAAAAAAAAAAAAAAAAAAAAAAAAAAAAAAAAAAAAAAAAAACACAAAAGCATCTGCAAACCCCGACTAAAAAAAAAAAAAAAAAAAAAAAA